TTGTGCCTTCAAACTTTAAACTCGTAGGTGTTATATATATATATATATATATATATATATATATATATATCTATATATAAGGGCCGGATCTAAAAATATATTTGAGTGGACAAAAGTTTAAAATATTTTGAAATGTTATAAAAATGTTTATTACAAAATATGAAATATCATATCAACACTTAAAACAAAAAGAAAACAAATCATAAAATTTGAGAAAATGAAACACTTTCTCTAAAGGCCGAAATAAGAAATTACCGCTGGACACGGTGATTAATCTCATCGTTGAAGTGTGATAGTTAGTTTGGTGATTTAAGTTTATTCATACTCAAAGTCAAAGATCGAACTCTTGACACCCTTCTACACAATCACACTCTCAAGTTAAAATAATAATAATATTAATACTCCAATAATACTCACATTGTTATGACCGTTTTACGGGTTTTAATTTGTGACGAGTTGAATCTCTGATAATTATTTTTACTTAATGATAGAAATCATATATTACTTATTACGGAAAATTTGACACTACAAAAGAAATTAATACTAATTTGAAATATATTAAAATTGTAATACAAAATTATGATAAATATTATAATACGAAATTGTTATACTATTTAAAATAATATTACTTATTATTAATGATATATATTGTAATACTTATAATTTAAATTATGATAACTTAAAGTAATTACGGAGTAATTCGGATTAATATATGATATGGCAAAGAGTTTTACTACATGAACTCTCAAATTCTACTCTCTTATTTGTACTCCCTAATGTGACAAGCTAGGATTGATTATTTTTAACACGTGAGTCTACAGAAAAGTGTCTACATAAAAAATATGTGAAAGGAAGTACAAGTTGAAAATATAAAATGGGAGTAGACCAAGTATTTTCTTATGGCAAATTGAAGGGCAGGTTTGAATTAGAAAGATGGGACCCAAAAACGGGACAGGTGTAGATATTTTAACGTGCTACATGTCGCGTCAAATACCATTACCCTTCTTCTTCTCCAATCTCCAGTTCTCCAGTTCTCCCCTCCCCCAGCAAAAAAAAGAAAAGAGAAATAATCACAATCCTCTCCCCGAGATCTCTCTCCCGGGCACCGATTCGTTTTCTCAACAGTACCCAACTCTCTACTTCACTGTTCATCGTCAACACTTTTTTCATCAACGCGCGCGCTCTCTCTCTCTCTCCGCCATTTTTTCTTTACTTCGAGAAACCGAAAAAAAGAGCCAAGTGAAGTCCAGTCAGTCAGTCTATCAAGAGAGGATTAAAAACATGAGCAATTTAAATCTGGGAATAAAATTTGCATAAAGAGTAAACTTGGGTTTTCAAAGACCTCTGTAAATTCTGAGGAACAGTTAACAGAAGCTAAAATTATCTGTTTTTTTTTTTTTTTCCTTTGGAAATCCCTTCATGTTTTCTTTCTCAGATCCATTTTTCTTTTCCATGAACCCTTCAATTCCTTTTCACCCGAATTTCATTGGGGTTCGAAATTTGCATCGGTTTTAGGTTTTTTTTTTTCCTGGCTATGGGTTTTGTGATGCGTGCATAGAGTTGCTCGGTCAAGACTAAATTGTTAAGGGATTTTGTTTATTTTATTTATTTTTTTAATCGTATATTGATGGGAAGTTCTGCTGAGTGCTGCCCTAAATCTATTGATGCGTCGGCGGGAGGGTTGGTTTGGGTGCGCCGGAGAAACGGGTCGTGGTGGCCGGGTCGAATTATGGGCCAGGAAGAATTGCTAGAGAGCAGTACGGCTTCACCGAGGGCAGGGACTCCGGTTAAGCTCCTAGGAAGAGACGATGCAAGTGTGTAAGTGATGTTACTCAACTGTTTTCCTCTGTTATAATCATATTTCTTTCAAGTGTAGTAATGTGTGGAATTTCTCCATTTACATGGCTTCTAAATTGAATTTATACATTGTTTTCAATAAAGTTTTGTATTTTGAGAGTTCCAGTTTGATTAGCAAGTTGTTTATCTCTCGAAATGCACCATTTCTGTTTTGGGAAGCTTTGATATATGTATGACCACTTATAGCCTTTTGTATAAAGAGAATAGTGACTGAATGAGGTGAAGCCAAGATGGGAGCATTGTTTCCTTTCCCTTGATCTCTGAGTATCTTCTCTGCTTCTACACTTTGCCAGTGATAGAATGTATAAAGAAAGGATTTTTCTCCAATGGAACGTTGTAGATTCGTCTATGCTTCATGTGCTGAGTTGCAAATTATTATTATATTGAAACTGGCCAAAAAAGGAAGTGTAATATCATGTGAAATCAAAAGGATTGTTGTGTTTATAAATTTCTGATGCTTGCAGACTCTGTTTCCTTTTTGGTTTTCTTGTCGTGTGCATATATGCATTTCATTGCTCATTTACATGTCAATATACTGCCTCCCTCTAATTAGAATATGATACATCATAATAACAATGAATGGAATTTGTTGGGCACTTGGGCTCAGTAAATGGGTAAAAAATAGTTTCTGATATGGTATATGATAAAACAACTCAGCAAATCTACAGGTGTCAAATGGATAATCATTAAGGCTTGGATGGATGGTGTACCCCTACAGCTTGTAAGTAGTTCTTTGTTGAGTTATATGTCAAAATATTTTTAGTATGAATAGAATAATGGCCTTTTTTCAGCAGAGAGGGCCTCCTTCTAGGAGTATGACTGCACATTCTTGATTAGGATTTCACAATTTGTAAAAGTTGTAGACAGTTGTATTTAGAGCATATATATTAGCTTTTTTATCAGGCTGGTGCTTAAAATTGCCAGTTTTTATTTTGAAATGTTCTGTACAGGTGTCTTATTTTAGGAAAAAGAATTCCCATGAGATATTGAGTGAAGTCCACCGTCTTCCAACAGAAATGTGTTTTAATTCAGGTGGAATTGTTTATTTGGCATCAAATGCCATTATATTTGTTCACTATACTTTGAGGCACAGGCACTGTCTCTGAACTTTAGACATTAGGTGGGGAAATCATTATTTTTAGACAATTATATTTTGACTGCGAAAATGTCACTGCTAAATTGTTCATGAATGATAAGTGTGGTTTGAGGGCTAACCTTAACAAACTTCATTGGTAGACTGTCATGCTAGGAGTGCATGAAAGATTTCAAATACTGAAGATGGTGTAGTAGTGCCCGTACAAAATGCTTGATTTGAATTTCTTCACTTCAGTTACCAGTTATGTGAAAAGTGAACTCCAAGGTCTAGAATTGTTTGAGCTTTTCAAACTAGAAGTTAAATGTTGTCTAAGAGGGAGAAGCTGTGGAGATGAGTACCTTTTTATAAATTAATCCATTACTTTCGACACCATTTACTTTACAGTTGAACTGGATGTACCTTCATGTTGTGAACTGTTAAACTTATTAGTTGCTTAGTTGATTTTCCTGTGCTAGCTTTATGTTCTGCCCAGTATTGGCTGTATTTTAATATCTGTTAAATCTGACCAAGCTCCACAGTACTGAGTACCTACTGCGTGAATAAATGCTCTGAGCGAATAAAGTTCATCTAATCTAGCTCTTTCTTTGGTTCTTGATAGTATCATTTGAGATGAGACAATAGCGGATTGGCTCCTTGTATCTTGATTTCTTAAAGATTATCCTATATCATCTGGGACTATTTATCGGGTTGTGTCCCAACTCCATCAACTTCATGGTTACACACATATGATTCTTTTTTTAATAATTGATAAAATAAAGTTTTATGATGTAGTTCTCTATTTTTTTTTGTTTCAGGGACTGGTACAATCTTGAGAAGTCTAAACGGGTGAAAGCTTTTCGTTGTGGGGAGTATGATGAATGTATCGAGAAAGCTAAGGCAGCTGCTGCTAATAATTCTAAGAAGGTAGCTAGGTATGCACGCAGGGAAGATGCCATTCTTCATGCTCTTGAAATTGAAAGTGCTAGCCTAGGAAATTCAAGAATAGATAAAGAAGATGGAATACAACATCTTATTGAAGAGCCACCTATTTCACCCCATCCCCATCAAGAAAGTGAAAATGTGAACAAGGATGGTAACAGTTCTGAAGAGTATTCAAGTTCAGATCCAGAATTGTCTGAATCTGATCCCTCCTTTGAAGAGGCAAACGCTATTAGTGCTTTTAAAGAACAATCTGTACCAGACGATAAACATCAAATCCTAAATGATTCAGAGGATGATGGAACTCAAGGAGCTAAGCGTATGAGAGGTCTTGATGACCTGGGGACAGGGGCGGTGCAATCATCGAAGAGAAAGAGATCTCAAATGGCACATGTTCGTGAATTTCTAAAAAAGAAAAGCCGTCGCCGTCGCTTGATGAAAGTTTTGGAGACTACAGCCATGGTGTCTGTTCCTGTTGTCTGTGAAGACATTCCCAGTCCAAATGGATCTGATATTGTTGGAACCTCTGGTAGCAAGGCAATGCTAATTAACAGTAAATCTGATGATGCAGGAGTTTTATGTGAGAATGGAACATCGATTAATGCATCCAAGGATACTTGTGCTTCTTCCTCTGCTAACTGCAAGCTGAAGGAGAATGCAATTCCCAGCATTTCAGGGTCACCTGAAAATGGTGTTTTAGACAGCCTATTTGATGTTCCATTTGTGACAGAAGAAAAAAATTCTGCAGGTAATATTGAGCATAAATCACTGTTTTTGACTTTTTGTCAGTTATCTATTTATTGCTTCAGAAGAACATCTTTCTTCAAAATATTATTATTCTATGGTTATTTCAGGAATTGTTCCTAATAACTTTATTGATGTTTTTATCCTTACATAGTTACATGTGAAATGTTTATCTACTTTTGAAGGGCATTTTTTTTTAATGAATCACACAAAAAATAATTTCCTTCAAGACTAATCTACTTTCCTTTTGTTGATGATGTAAAAGTATTGTATCTGTAGTTTCTGTTTCATCACCGAATTCTGTTGGCTTGATTCTCTTTCCTATTTATGTGGTAACTTCTTGTTGATGGTGTCTCTACTCTCTAGCTCACATTATTCAACTTCAACATCATGCTCGAAAATCCAGTGATGAATTTCATGGGAAAATATCTGTTTTCTAGAATGTTTCTTTATGCTTGGCCCACTTTTTTTAATTTCTTAGGCTAACTTTTTGAGTTCATTTTGTCATCAGGCTTGTCCCCGATTGTATCTTTAGCATCTCAGATTGGTGCTGGAGAAAAATCCAGCCAAAACGGTCAAGTCGGAACCATGTCATTAGGGAATGATGAGTTTAATGAGTCAGGATCTAGAAGTTCGGGTAATACAGAGATCCATGATGTTAGCCAGAGGCTAGAGAAGGGGACTTCGAAATGGCAGTCAAAAGGAAAGAGAAACTCCAGGCACTCGCGTCAATCTAAAAAATGTGATTCAGGGAAACCCGTGGGCACGAATGATAAATCTGATTCATGCTTGGCGGCAGGTATGGATTGAGATTTCTTGTCTTTCTTCTGTTAAAAAAAAAAATTGTGACTTTACTGATTTGCTCCTTCTGAACGCTCTACTTATTGCAAGTTCAAACCAGTTTCAGAATTTCAGTTGGATGAGTTTCGAGGTTGGAGCAGGAACATCATCTCTCACGGAGAAACTCCCACGAAGGGACGAACAACCGAGGTGTTGAATCCTCAGAGGTTACTGCCTTATCGTCAGTCTCGTTTCACAGTGAACCCCAAGTACGAGTCATCAGATTTCCCTCTCAGGCACCACAAACCCCCCGAGTCCTTGCTCTACAATGTCAATCTGGAAGTGAAATCTAGCTATCGCCCACAACACGTTCCTTACATTTCTTTAGTGAGCAAACTAAACGGCCGACCAATCACCGGCCACCCAGTCACAGTTGAGGTATTAGACGACGGGTTCTGTTCTCAACTGCTATTGAGTACTTCCGAATGCTATAGCAGCAGTTATGATAACACCAACGCTGAGGATATGGTCAATGGAACCAGACCGAGTTCTTGTGGCAAGGTTCCTACTAAGCATCCTCCTCGCACTTCACCCTCCAAGTCATCAAAATCAAAGAAAAGCACTGCACTCTCAAAGAAGATGAGGAAATTGTCTTCGTTAACCGGTTCTCACAAGCAAAGTCAAGAGAAGAAACGCTCGGTACAGAAACTTATAGGCCCTGTGGTGGCTTGCGTCCCCTTGAAGGTAGTGTTCAGTAGAATTAATGAAGCGGTACGAGCAGGCCACCGCATTACTGGAACCAGCAATGGTTGAAATCATCTTTTCCAGGCCAGACATTTGGTTATAGAGAATTTTGTTATCTTAGTTTTCATCATATCATACTTGGTTTCTGGCATCAAGGTATAATCCTCTGGAAAAATAGAGGAAATGAAATCCAACCCAGATGCTACCTTGCTGGTTGGTATACATAAACTGTAACATTATTTGAGTTGTAAAGAATGATGGTCCCTCAAAAGACCTTATAGTTCAGTTCAGTGCCAAAAGTTTGAGGTTTCATGTTTGATTTTTGTTCCTTTCAAATGTAAATATAAAATTAAAGAAAGAGTGGATGATGATCCAAATCTTATTAAGTTTTTTATATTTGTTGGTGAAGAAGAAATTGGCATTTTCATGAGGGCATGTAGAATGGGTAGTCTGATGCTTTTCTGAGTTTTCCAGAATCATAATCTGTTAGCTTTTGGGCAAGAGCATAACCTGAACAACACATTATAATTAGAACAATCATATTATGCCCAAAATGAGCATATCCTTTGTGTGCATTGACATTTGGTGCAGTCTGTTGAGCCATTGAGTTACTGTGATTTATAAATGTTCTGTTGGATCGGAGTGCAGTCTGTTGAGCCATTGAGTTACTGTGATTTATAAATGTTCTGTTGGATCAGAGTGTGGGAATCTTTAGGTTGATAATTCAACCTTTTGGGAGAAGTACAATGAAACTAAGAAAATAGTAAACCACATGAAGTCAAATAGTTTCGATTAAATACAATAATAAGTTACTACAAGAAGTGATTGTGATATGACAATATAGATAAAGATCTTATATAGTAGAGCCAATAGTGGAAGTACAATTTGGGAGTATGATTTTGAGAGTACATCTAATATTTTTGTTTATATTATATCCTTTAGCTTGTTGTTGCTGGGAATCGAACCTGAATTCTTTTTAAAGGAGAGACGCGCGTTTTTTTAATAAAACGACGTCGTTTAGGCATCCGTATGCAAACGATTGCTAAACCTGCATAGTGCCCAACCGGAGCATCTAGGCCCATCTTCACTAGGGTTTTAATATATAAACAAAATAAACCTCAAATATTGCCAACTTTTTCCCTCCCCATCGCCCGTCGAAGCTTGGATTTTGCTTCTGCGCGACTTGCAGCAATGGCAACGGTGCCGGGGCAGCTGGTGTGGGAGATCGTGAAGAAGAATAACTCTTTCTTGGTCAAGGAGTTCGGCAACGGTACTGCCGGTGTCGTCTTCAGCAAAGAGCCCAACAATCTCTGCAATCTTCATTCTTACAAGCACTCTGGTGAGGCACCGTATTCATTTTTCACTTTTTAAGTTGCAAATTTAGGTTTGAGATTTCATATTTTTCTTAGAACTGTAAAACGGAATGATTGCCAATTCCACATGATTTAGAATGTCCAGATTAGGTTTTTACTTCAATGTACATCGTTGTGCTTTTCTTAATATCGTTCCTTTTCCATTGTGAATGAATTTTCCAAAGTTTAATGCTTTTGTGATTTGTATTTGGCTGGAGATTTTATTTATTTTTTAAATAGCAGCTGATTTAAAGTGATGAGAATGTAGTAGTAATATATTGACATGACTTAACAGGGTTAGCCAACAAGAAAACTGTGACAATTCAAGGGGGTAAAGATCAGTCTGTGCTGCTCGCCACAACCAAGACCAAGAAGCAGAATAAGCCAGCTAATTTGCACAACAAATCTGTCATGAAGAAAGAGTTCAGACGCATGGCCAAGGCAGTTACCAATCAGGTAGATCTTAAGCAGGCATAAGTTGATTGTTCATATCCATGTCTTCCTTTATGAGCTTTGGGAATTTCTGTACAATCCCTAGTTGCATTGCAGCTTTGCCATCTCACCTTTAGTATTAGAGGGGTGTTTGGGTCTTGCAATGCTGCCATTAATTTGGAACTGACAAGATAAGGCTAGTTGACAGTTGGCTACTAAGTATGTGAAATGCCATTTATTTTTTCGATGTGCAATACAAACCATTGGCTACATTGGTTGGACTGTGGTTATATTTGCCTGAATTAGCTTTCAAGCTTAACAATATAAGTAATTATGGTATCTCTTCATCCTAAAAAAGGAGCAGTAGATAACTAGATATAAGCTTTGGCTTATTAGGCCACATTCAGAACAATTAATCTTTTATGTTAGACTGGAACTGCTATTTTGATTTCTAATATCGTTCCCTTGTTTTGTATATCCTTTATATAAAAGGCTATATTTTAACAAGTCCATCTTTTTTCTTTCACTGCCTAGAGAGAATAGTTTATTCTCACAAAAGAAAGAATCCAAATATTATATTTTTGTACAACAGAAGTAATGCTTAATGAATATCATCATATCCCGAAATTTTTATTCCCCCCACCCCAAAGTCTGTCAAGCATGGTACATCTAATGTGGCCTTATAACTTGCTTTGTTTGAAAAACTGACTGACCATTGCTTTTGAAAGATTATGCTCCTGTGCTAACACCTGAGAAGTGAGAGAGCTATTTGCCCAATACCAATTTGGTTAGCTTAGATAAATTTTCAAGTGGCTACTGGCTAATGTCATTGTTTCCCTTATATTCATTTACTATTGAACACAGGTTGCAGATAACTATTACAGGCCAACTTGAAGAAGGCAGCCCTTGCTAGGTTGAGTGTTGTGAACAGGAGCCTTAAGATTGCAAAATCTGGTGTCAAGAAGAGAAACAGACAAGCTGTATGAGCACTGATACTTGTTCGATGTCATAATCTCAACTGGATTTTGAAATTTTCTTTTTGTTTTTCATAAGTTTTTGGCAGTGGAGTGATTGATACACATTTTCCATAAAGAAATTAAGATTATAGCTGGGAAAATTACCTTGTCCTTTTCTTTTCAGTTGTTGTGGGTCTGCACACTTCAGTAGCTTAATTTCAATTTATGCCTTTAAAGTTGAACTTGTGTTTAATATATTGTTCATCCTTTTGCACACTGACATTCTTCTGCTCTGATATATTAACTGATTGTTGTGCTGTGAGAGAATTTAGGGGTGAGTAAGAATCTGCCCCAATTCGTTAAATCTGCCCTAATTCTTGAAATATGCCAAATTCGTTCCCATCCAATCTGTGGACAACTTTGTGTTATATATATACACACACATGAATAGCACAATTAGGATTTTATGAGTTGTACAATCATGTATATTACAAGTTGCACATTAAATATCTGGTTTTTTTTTTGAATGGGGGTGCTTGATAAATTATGCTTTTGATTTTTGAATGCTTGAAATATTATATTATAATTCATTTTATTCTAATTTTTAAATAAAATATAATTGTCTTCAAGGACTACACCTGGACTTGGAAATTCGTGTATATGAGTTTGAACTCGTAAATGGATTGACACGATAACGACACGAACACGATAAGGGTAAACACGGACACGACACATTAATGTTAAATTTTTAACACGAACACGATTTGTTAAAGGGTTAAACGGGTTGGATTGACATCGTTTTGTTAACAGGTTTTGGGTCACACGATATGACATGAAACCTGTTTAAACTCGCTAAACCTATTAATTTATATATTTTTTTAAAAAAACACTAAAATTTAAAATTAAGTTATATAAAAAAAAAAATAAAACCTACTATTCAATTCATCAAACAAACTAAACAAAACATTCAATTTATAACATTCATAAAATAATAAAATAACATACAAAAATCATAATTAAAGAAGCCAATGCTAGTTTTTAGAATAAAATTAAACACAACAAAAATTCCAATTTCAGATTGTTGAACAACAATAGTTGGTGTATGATCTTGGTCTAATGTTGTAAATTCATCCTTAGTCATGTTCATGATATCGATCTTTTGTAATCTCATTCATAACAATGATTCTTAGCGGGTTATAAACATGTTTATGTAAACGAGTTCGTGTAACAGGTTAACATAATAATATTAACGGGTTAAACGAGTTCTTAATAGGTTTGTCGGGTTGACCCGTTAAGACGAAACATAACGGGTCAAGAGACCCGGGACACATTAAGACTAAACACTAACCCGTTAGTTTCGTGCTTGGCTTTGTGTCGTGTTAACGAGTCGTGTCCATAATTATCAGGTTTAAGTCTACACCTCCCGAATTAAAGAGGAAGAGTCTACAACATTGACATAATGATTAAAATCACACATTGTTTGAAGAAATGAAATGAAGGATATATGAATTATAGTTGCTGAGGTCCCTAGCTAGTTTCATCCCAGGCCAATTGCTTGCCATTGAGGAAGCTGTTGGTATGTTTGATTATATTGTGAAAGTATATTTGTGTAAATTTACATGACATATTGCAAGTTGCAAGACTTGTTCAATTGGCATTTTGCAGAAACCATACTACTTGCAAGCCAAGGAGAATATTGAATATTCAACCCCAGAAGCTATTTCCAAGACACAACTCAACAGCACACCAAATATATATATATCGACGAATATTCTGCGAATTCAAGTCCAAGTCAATATAATGAAGGCAGGCAATTGTCAATTGCTGCACGCCTTGAAAACGTATGTACGTTCAGTTCCTTGCAAGCATAAATATGGTCGAAAACTGAGGTTTGGTGGCAATATAATGTGGCCCCAAGAAATGGAAGACGACTCTATATGACACAAAGAAGAAGCCCCCGTAATTTCCGGCGACGGCAAAACCCTGAAGAGAAGCAGCAGCGGCGACGATTTCAACCGGTGTTTCTCCTTACCCATTGATGCCGGGGGCGTTAAGTCGTTGAAACACCTGGACTCCAAGAAGTTGAAAGAGGATATCAAGAAATGGGCTAAGAAAGTGGTCGCCTATGCTCGCCAACTCAGTGATCATTTCAATTCGGGAGTTAGTTCTCGTCGCTCATAGATCGATTCTCTCGTCCCTCCGATTCGTCGCTAACTCCATCTCATTCTCACTATAACATAACCAACTTTGGGTGCTGATTATATATCTTACAAGTAGCCTTGATTCAGGTTGGATTTGGTGTACATAAATAATATATAAATTCTATTGCTTAGCTTTATTCATTTTATTCTTTTATTTGATGCATATATATATGGTTGTTTCCTCACTACAATGTAGAAGAATAATGTATAGACTGTGTTATAAATGAAATAAACAGGTCGGGCTTTTCTTTTCTTCTTCTTCTTCTCCATTTTTGTTACAACCCAAAAACAAGAAAGGGAAAAAAAAAAAAATCAACTATATTCTAAGCTTCCCAATCATAGCTCCAAAGCTAAGGCACGCATTAAGCTAAGAAAATGTCCTTTTATGTTGTTCTGTGATTGATCCAACTTAACACAACTCTTTTTCAATGACTAATGAGGTGTTTGGTAGAGAGGAATTGTGTGTAATTGTATTGCTTTCCCATTTAATTCTAACAAGTGAAAAAATTTTCAGAATTTTGTTGGAAGGAATTGCAATCCTATAATACTTGAGAAGAAAGTTTAGAGTGTGAGGACCAAATTGCCTTCTTTAATAACCCTGCATTTTTCATATGAATTACAATTACACGAATATTTCGATCTTAATTCTCAATAATTCTATTCATATCTACCAAACAACGTAATTTGAATTCTTACATTATTTTCACATTATTTTTTTTCCATAAAATTACAATTTTTCTCATAATTATCTCATTGCAACTAAACGGCCTATAAATTATCTCATATTTGCAAGAAAATCAACACATTTGTTTTTTTTTTTTTCTTAAAACTTGAGAGATCTTCATAAACACCATTTCCTAACAATCCATTTGGAAAAGGTAGAGGAATTGTCCACTGAACCAGGTGAGTCACCGTGATTTACATCCTTTCAAATATTTTGTCGGGTTAGGGTGTGGGGGCTCTTAAGATTGGAGATTCAAATAAAAGGCAGAAGAATTTAGAGATAAAAATGCAAAGTAAAGCTAATGAATTTGAAGAAGGTTAAGAAAAGGAAAGGGAGTTGATAGTCCAATTACACGGTTAAGGAACCCAAAACGCCGTGTGCATCATCCAATTAAAGTCAACCGACTGGCAAAAGTCAAACTACGATAAATCCTCAATTGTTGATTGGAAAGTAATGTAGGCTTACCATAGGCCCGACCACAGCTGATGACTACCTTGGAATCACATCAGGTATTCAAATACGCGGACGTTTCTCATAAATTCTCCCATTTTGATCAAACGCGAATTCCATAAATTTATCCCCTCAAACCCTAACCTTAATCCCAGATCCGTCGAAATCATGGGGAACGCAGAGAAATTGATGAATCAGATCATGGAGCTCAAGTTCACGTCCAAGAGTCTCCAACGCCAGGCCCGGAAGTGCGAGAAAGAGGAGAAATCCGAGAAGCTCAAGGTCAAGAAGGCAATCGAGAAGGGAAACATGGACGGCGCTCGAATCTACGCCGAGAACGCCATCAGGAAGCGCAGCGAGCAGATGAACTACCTCCGCCTCGCTTCCCGGCTCGACGCCGTCGTGGCTCGGCTCGACACCCAGGCGAAGATGACCACCATCAGCAAGTCAATGGGCAACATCGTCAAATCGCTCGAGTCAACCCTCGCCACCGGGAATCTCCAGAAGATGTCCGAGACGATGGACCAGTTCGAGAGGCAGTTTGTGAATATGGAGGTCCAGGCCGAGTTCATGGAGAGCTCCATGGCTGGGAGCACTTCGCTTTCCACCCCGGAGGACCAGGTCAACAGCCTTATGCAACAGGTCGCCGATGACTATGGCCTCGAGGTTTCTGTTGGGCTTCCACAGCCGGCTGCTCATGCCGTCCCAACCAACACCGAGAAGGTCGACGAGGACGACCTTTCCAGGCGCCTTGCCGAGCTCAAGGCCCGTGGGTAAACAAAATTCTGTGAATTTTTTTTAAAAAATTGTGCTTATAGCACCGCAGATCGGCAAAAATATTGATATAATGTGATTGTGTATTGTGTGAATTTCTACTTATCTATTCTGCCTACATATGTTTGAGTGTATTTAACTTAACACTGATATCCTGGAGTCAATTGCCTTTTATATTATAAGGCTTACATTATGTGCATAAAGATCCTTTGATCTGCATTTCAATGTGTACTGAAGTCTATGCTGTAGTTCACTTGAATAGGTTTGATGCAACTATTGTAGGTTTCTGTTCGGTATTTGTTGTGCCTATGAAGAATTCATTAGTTGGTAGGCATTGTTAAGAAGTTTAAGTAGGATAACTTGACCTCAGATTCTTGGTGACTATAGGTTTAAGGGTTGTCCAAAAACAATTTAGGATATGGGCTCAAGAAACCTCTCTGCTCTCCGACGTTCAATGTGTAGGTTCTGCAGTATTAAGAAGTTTAAGTAGGATAACTTGACCTCAGATTCTTGGTGATTATAGATTTAAGGGTTGTCCAAAAACAATTTAGGATATGGGCTCAGGAAACCTCTCTGCTCTCCAGTGTTCAATGTGTTACACCAGCTAGATAAGATTCATGCTATTGCCTTTTGTTATATGAAGATAGGCTTTAGTTCAAAAGACTGATATCAGGCTGTTTTCTGTCTGACTTTGGAAGATTGGTCATAGTTCGTTTAGTTTCCCCATTCAACTTCTGAGCTCCACCTCTTGTAGGGCCTGCCTAATACTTTCTAACACCATAACTTTGCATTTGTTGCTTTAGTATACTAGCAGAGTTTAAGTATGGAGGGCAAGATAATTAGGGTGAGTTGGATGTATGTGGATGATCCTATGGTAATAAGCAGAACATATATGACTAGCTCTGATTTTTATTGACCCTAATTTCGGTGATTAGTCTCGACTGTGAGGTTAATTCAGTTTGACTGTATAGGGATGGATGAGTGCATGCAATTTGCTTTTGCTTCTGCATTTGCTGCTTACTGGGATGCTTGATTATCTTGTGCAGTTAGAAATTTAGCTTCAGCCATTCAACAATAATAGTTGACAAGCATTACCAGGCATCTTTGTCTTATGAATGATTAGGCATCCCATACATCAGATTACTAACAATCTGTGATGACTATCAGAGTGAAAGCAAGGTTTAGCAAAAGAGGGTTGAGAGAGACATCAGATTACTTACAATCTGTGATGACTATCAGAGTGAAAGCAAGGTTTAGCAAAGAGGGTTGAGAGAGTTCTCCTTATTTGAACTTCAATTTTTGAAGATTTCCAGTTTAATGTGGGTATTGGATGTCATTGGTATCTCATTAGAGTAGCATATAAACAAATCTCAGACATTAGAGTAATATAAAATCACTTGTTGAATTAGTGTTTTTAATGAATTCCATAAGATGGAGAAAATTCAAAGGGTGCGTTCAGTTAAGTTCAGTTCATTTCTTTGTTTTTCATGCATATCTCCTGGAGTTTCATTACGTGAAGAATGCTTTGAGTTTCATTACTTCCTGCCATTGAGTACAAATCTCATAAAACATTTTGGTCATGGTAATATAGTTAGCTTATCAGTTAATTTTGGCTTATTTGACCATTATTAGCTGTTTGATTGGGTTAAACAACCACTATAATTTACCAAACATCTTATTGATTAGTAGTCTATTGTAATAACTTATTGCTCCAAAACGTTAAAATTCACTAAAGTCATTTTACATGTAATCAGTTAACAGTTAATTTACCAAACATCTTTTTACAATCAGCTATCAATTAATTTATCAAACATTTTTTACAGTTAGCCAGTTATCAACTAGTCAAACTCACCAACCCAATCAGCTAACAGTTATTTATCAAATACCGCTTTATGGATTTTTTTTTTTCAAAAATACTAGATGTACTCCTAAAATCATACTCTCAAATTGTATTCCCACTTGTGTTCAAATTTGATTGGAGGAAAAAAAAAGAAAAAAAATGTATAAACATCATGGCCCCCTACTAAATTAAGCAATCAAGGCATGTCATGTCATAGGAAGTGCAAAATGAGAGTATAATTTGAGAGTACATATATAATTTCCTTTTTTTTTCTCCATTGGAACCACTATACAAGAACCAAGCTTTCTCTTCTTTGAATCAAGGCGTATATGCAGATGCAAAAGCAATTTGGATTATGTCACGGATATGGTTAAACCAGTATTTTGATTCGAGTTCTATTACATGTACTCCCGTCTCCCAAATCTTACTTCATTAATTTTACTTCTTAATATGGTGAATTCTGATAAACTGTTTTTTTTTTTTAATGTGTAATAAGTGTACATTAAAGTTTTGTGTAAGTAAAAATTGGAAGTACACATAACAATTTCCTTTTGATTCAAAATCCTTGGGAGACAAGTTAAAGTTACAGTATTTAAATTTAAGTTCCAAAGCAACAAACTACTTGTAGCATAAGACATTTGACAATTCAAGTAAAAACAATGGACAAAAAGCAAGCAACAAAATATCCATTACCAGCATCAACGCAAGAGAATGCAATAATGACTTCACCCTCTCTCTTGTTTGCAATATATATGTAATGTATTTTATAGAAAAATTCTTTGTGATCAAGTCAGTATGATATTATTTTTTGACTTGATCTTAATTTTTCGGTACCTAATTAATATAGGGACTTTTACCCCCTCTCTCTCTCTTTATTTTTATTTTTATTTTTATTTTTTTTAAATATGTACTGTTTTGTATTTTGAATATTCTTGTTGCAAACTTGAATATTTTGACATATGTTTTACTAATTTATACGTGTTCTATTAAACTCCCAATTATTAGTTATGTTTCTTCTTTTCATGAATGTTTGTAAATGGGCAATGATATATTAGAAATTTGAAAAATTTTCCTATGAAAGTTTAAATGAAACAAATGTACACTTTCATGGTAATTTAATTATATTTACGTAATTTCAAGTATGCTAATCACTTTACTTAGCAAAGTTATTTCCATCAAATGCATTCAATGGAATTATATTCTCATAAATTTAATTGATAGGAAAATACCAAGCGACTTTTTAAGGCCTAATCCATCCCTGCAAGGTTGCAAGCAACTCTTGTAATTTCTACACAATTGCAATTCTGACCGCTAGCAATATTTTGTTATTTTCTTTGTCCTTATTGCTTACTTTTTCTTAAAATTTGTACTTTTTTCTTTTTTAATAATAAATTTAATTATTATTATTATTATTATTATTATTATTATTATTATTATTGTATTATATTTTGAGAGTAAATTGAAATTGTAAGGATGTAAAGAAAATAATAGTGAGTTGCAATTAAAAGTGAGAAAATTATAAGAATAAATATAGTCTAACAATTAAGACACCTTAGCTTGTTGATCGAGTTATAAGGCTTCCTAACAACCTAAAATCTAAATAGTAGGCCAAGCCGATCACACTCTTAAAATTAATATTTTGGATGACTTGGTAAACCAAAGTTAGTTAGAAAGACTATAGCATTCAGGGCCGGTCCTATCATTTTATAGGCCCGGGGCAAGATTAAAAAAATGGGCCCCGGTTAATATATATTTTATGCCTAAAATTTAAATTAAATAAGGAAAAAATTATTAATATCAATAACTTTAAATAAGATTAACAAGTTTTTAACAATTTTACATACATACACAACAATAATCATGAAAAAAAATTCTAGGTGCTTTCCTTAATGCAAAATAATAAATAATCGTATAAGTGTTTTCATAAATAAATAATATTATAGTTTATAAAAATGAATAAATAATTTAAAATCGAGTAAACTTATAAACAATAACATTTATCATAATAAATAATAATTAATTTTTAATAAAAATTTATAAAACAATAATTACAAACATATGGAAAGTTAAAAATCTTTTTTTTTTTACTAGGAGCAAGAAATTAAAATATTTCAAAACGCAATAAACAAATGCAAAAAGATATGAAACATAATTATCTAGATAAAATAGTTTGAACATAAAGCATATTATAAATCACACATCTTCTATATTATTTATATGATTTTTATAAATACTTTTTTTTTAATACTTTTTTTTTTAATACAAATACCTTTCTTTTAAATAGATAAATTTTAAACTTTTTTAAAAATAATTTGAATACATATAATGACACATGATAGAAGTTTCTATATTACATTGATTAGATATTCATAAAAAGGTACGAAGTAAATTATCTTTTAATTTTTTTTTTTATAATTCAATCTCAAAATATATCATAAACCCCCTCCGTCCTATTTTTACGTGTCTTGTTTGGTTAACATGAGTTAATTGAAGTTTTTTAAATTCAATTTTTCATAATATGTTTAGTATAAGTATATAAAAATTTATAAATTTAGAAATTGCATTAAAAATTTAATATAAAAATTATATATTTAAGATAAAAAAATTTCATAATATGTTTAGTATAAATATATGAAAATTTATATATTTAAAAACTACATTAATAATACTACTCCGTATTAAACACAAAAAAACAATAAAAATAAATTTTTAAAATATAAGCAAAGAAGTAAAGTTGGAGAATTCAAAAATGTGAAGGGAAGGATTTGATCACAGGCCTTTGATTAAATGAGGTTGACATTCAAGTATCTTACCAACCAAGCTAATTCACCTTACTATAAAATATATGTATATAAATTACTTATAATCAATATATATATATACTATAAATATATATAAGAGATAGGATGGGGCCCTCCCCCAAGCATGGGCCCTGGGCAAGGGCCCAACCTGCCCATGCCCCAGGGCCGGCCCTGCTTGCATTTGGTGGAAAGAGATAGGTCGACCTGCGCTAGCCAAGATGTCAGGCTATGTTGTCATAATTGTTTGACACGTTTGTTATGCCATTTGATTGTTCAATTGCGTCACCAACCAGAGCCTCCCACGTCAATACCAATTGTCATAGGTCATAAAAGCATCCTCATCAGCTATGCATTTTACACGATTTTTAAAGTGCCACGAGAGAAGAAGGAAAAAGAGAAAAAATAAAATAAAAAAGGAGGTCTGACGCTAAAAAAAAAAAAAAAAAAAAAAAAAAGACCAGCACACGCGTTAGCGGGCACGTGCATTGCACGCGCTCAACTGGGCGCCTGCATCTCCAACACGCGAAGAAAAGCATAATGCTTTGTTTCCATTTCTCAATTAGTCGACCTCACAAAAGTTTTGCACTTGCAGGAGAAAAATACACCAAAAAACCACAATACCACATCTTTTATTTGTGCAAAAACAACACACTTGATTTTTACTATTCCAAAAACCACAAAAATGCATTAGTGTAGATGCTCTTAAGTCATCATAACATTGACGGAATACTTAATATAAATAAGATATATCCTATGTAACTTGAAAAATCGTCTACTCCATAACATACATAGTATTAACTTAATTTTATAAACTATTAAAAGTTATTCAATTGTTCATAGTTAACTGGCCTTTTAATCACTTCACAGTTATTCAATAATACATTGATATTCTCAAAATATTTATAATTTTAAAAAGAGCCAATTAGTAAAAGCAAGTTAGAAGGACAAGCTATAAAAACAAATCCAATAATGATAGGTTGAAGTGTTGAACTTACTCCATACATACCAACAACCATTGAAGGAGCAACTAGAACATTAACCTTTCTAGAACATTAATTAGTAAAAAAAAAAAGGAAAAAAAATTATTACAATATTTTACATAGGAATACTATATTTCAAAAATAAAAAGCAAGGGTTTAGACTATTCAGATGGTTAACGGATCAGGGGAGCAAGACGGACCAGCAAACAACCTGGTCGAGCTTTGCAGAGAAGCTAAGAGAAGGAACTGGGAGATTCGTATGAGTTACGTTCTAAGAGAACATAACAACACAACTACAGTATCATTTCGATATAACTACAGTTTCATTGGATAATATACACTTGAATATGTGAAACTGCTATTCAGTTTCATTTTATATACACTGCAGTTTCAGTTCAACACAACTACAGTTTCATTTCAATTCAATTACAGTTTCATTTGATAATATAAAAACACTATGTGATACAATTTCATTTTAGATACACTATAATTTCATTTTGTAATTAACACACTAAAAATACGGACTATGTTAAGTTGTAACGGCAACCGTTTCTTTAATTAAAAGAAACGGCTCGTTTTTGGACCATGGTCCGCGATATAATTGCTGATAATACCATCTTTATTTGGGCTGATAATACAAATTTACTTTTTAGTGGGACGAAAATGCAATTATATTTTTGCATGGGTTGGGAACACAAATTTGATAATGAATTTCTCTTCAAATTAGACACGAAATATTTACGATAATATCGTCTACTCTACGCCGATATATTGCCTTCTTCTGGCCGCCTGGTGCGATTTGCCCTTCTCCTCAAGCAAAGTTCAAAACAGAAGACGCCATCCCACTCTTCTTCTATCCCGATCCTGCGCACGCCGAAGCTCCCTATTACCATGGTTACAGGTCTGGACCACAAAGCTACACTCTCAATTTCATTTCCGGGATTAATCACTTTCGAATCAGTATTTTGTTGCTTTTCGAATTTCCAAAAAATAGATTTTGTGTTGTTTGAACTTCAGTATAAGTTTTAGGAGCTAAATAGGTGATTCTGTAGCCAAACATGTCGATTAGATTTTATTGCCCAATTCAGATTATGAAAATTCTCTGTTAGGGCTGTAGAAGAACGTTTTGAACTGTTAATATCCCGATTCAGCATTAGCTGTTTGCATATAATAGTTGGAAATGTTCCCTTGAAAATTGTTAAATTGCTGCATTCCTGCAAAACTGGCTTAAAAAAAAAAGTATTCCCGTTGTGAAGACTAATTTTTAGGAGTTTCTTTTTTTGTGCATTCAACTTGGTATGCATTGCAGTGAGCGTAAAATGGCAAAAGGAGGTGTTTCCTGCTGTGGAAATTGATACTAGCCAGCCTCCATATGTCTTCAAATGCCAGCTATTTGATCTGACTGGGGTGCCACCTGAAAGGCAGAAGATTATGGTTAAAGGTGGTTTGTTGAAGGTATTAGAAACTTCTATTTACCTGAATTTTTAATTGCTTTACTTGGATGATTGTAATGCTTCTTCTAGTGCTAAATTCAATTTCTGTTATTGAGAAATTGCTTCTTCTTTTGCCATTTAGGATGATGCAGATTGGTCAAAACTGGCAGTGAAAGAGGTACATGATTCCCTGTTGCTAATTGTATTAAACTCTTGTTCACTAAAAAAGTTGCCAGCAATTAAATATATTGACTTTGGTATTTCTTTTAGGGACAAAGGTTAATGATGATGGGCACTGCTGATGAAATTGTCAAGGCTCCTGAAAAAAGCCCTGTGTTTGTTGAAGATATGCCAGAAGAGGAGCAAGTTATTAATGTGGTGAGTATTTTGAAATTTATGTGACATATAATTTGATAGTTGGTGTAGATACTGGAACTTTCATAGATGATTTGATCTGCTTAGTTAACTCATCTCTCATTTGATTTGTGCATCACACACCGCATGTGACATTAGTATGCTACATTGTATTTATTTTCTTCTATGGTGTTGTTTGCTTCAAATCATGATGAATGGATTTACTTTAATGTAATTTATTAGTTTACATCACACATTATAACAGGGTGGTAATGTTTCATTCCCAGGGTCATTCTGCTGGCTTGTTTAATCTAGGAAATACATGTTACATGAACTCCACTGTTCAATGCCTTCATTCTGTTCCAGAACTGAAGTCTGCTCTTTCGCTGTGAGTTCTTCTCATTCATATTAATAGAGATCATTTATTTATTAGAGGTGAACCAGGTTCACTTGTTTAATTGATTTTATTGCATGTTTACATATTGTTTTGTGCCTTTTCCTCTTAGGTACCCTCATGCGGATAGACGAAATGATCTGGATAGCTCATCTCATCTTCTGACTGTTGCAACCCGTGATTTATTTAATGAACTTGATAAAAATGTCAAACCAGTGTCTCCGATGCAATTCTGGATGGTACAAGTGTTATTTTTAATGTCACTTTCTTTTGAGAGATGGGGTATAACTTTTAATTGAACGGATTAAGTTTACATCATAAATGGAAGTGGGGAAACTAGAATCTCAAAAACCACCTTCTTCTTTTAATTTTTTTTTTAAATTTTTAATACAAAGACAACAAAAAAAGAAGAATTTAATTCAGTAGGTGATAGATCAAAAGGGATAGTGGGTGACAGATTGGAATGATTGAATAATTATTTGCATTTATTTTCATGTTGACAGGTATTACGTAAAAAATATCCTCAATTTGGCCAGCTCAACAATGGTGTCTTCATGCAGCAGGTTTTGCAAAATCCCTAAGTCTTACTATATTACATTCCACTTGTTAATACTGCCATTGACATATTGCAAATGAAAACAGGATGCTGAAGAATGTTGGACACAGCTTCTGTACACCCTTTCTCAGTCTCTTAAAAGACAAGTTTCCAGGTACTGTAGTCTCCACTTCTCAAGGTTAAAAATGATAACTGGTGGATAGTTCTGATCTATAAGAGCATATGCATTGCTCTTTGTTTGTCAGTTTTTTCTCTGACACCTTTGTCTATGCTCCTTTATGTTGGTTGATTTGGTCTGTGTTCCTCTAGTTTCAATATTGTAGAAGTGTATGCTATTTACCTGAATTTTGTTCCTTTTTTCCAATGCAATTACAGTCATTCTTCGTTCTTTTTTTTTTTTTTAAATAAATTTGCAGTGATACTTCAGATACTGTGAAGGATATTTTTGCCATTGATCTTGTCAGCAGGTATTTCTCCAATGATATCTATTTGTACCTTTTACATGTTATGGGGAAATTTTTTTTTATTATATTTAGTTTTTTAATATAAATTTCTGACAGAAGTGGATTATCATCACACTATAAGTCATTAGGCACTCCAAGGGTGTCAAACTACATAGCACCATTTCTGCCCTAATCTATATACTGTTGAGAAAAGCTACAGTAATGAACCATTGGGGTCTATTCATAATGAAAGATACTTGGTTCTCCCTTTTGTCATGAAAAAAGTGGCATAACATATGGTATCATGCTGTGAATCATTGTTTCTCTGTATTTTGTATTTGTATTGAGGTTGAATTTAAAGTGTAGTTCTGAAATTCCATTTGCTATGTTGTTTAGCAGCTCTTTAAAATTGATATCTGGTTTTTGTTGTGTTGCTCTGAAGATAGCCGACCAAACCATATGATTGTTTTCATTTTCACTGATGATATTGCCTAGGGTTCACTGTGCCGAAAGTGGTGAAGAAAGCACAGAGACTGAATCAGTGTATTCCCTTAAATGCCACATTTCACAGGAGGTGAACCATTTGCACGAGGGTTTAAAACGTGTAAGTTCAAATCTACCGTGTTATGATTTGAACTTGTTCCTCATTCCGGATAATTTGTATCTCAGTTTGAAGACACTTAAAAGCCTTCTTATTAACTGCTTAGGGCTTGAAATCAGAACTGGAGAAAGCTTCTCCTTCTTTAGGTCGCAGTGCAATTTACCTAAAAGATTCTCGAATTAATGGTTTGCCAAGGTATGGATTAGTCCTATTAAACTCTCCTCCTATCATGGTGCTGCCAGCTTGCTACAAGCACGTGTTTTTTGAATTTTAAAATTTCCCTGCTATCAGCATCTGAAATGGCTCTTCCTGGATTAAAGTTCTTCCCCTTTTAACTTCTTCCTTCACATTTCCCCTTGCTCATTAATGATCCATGATGATATTACTTCTATTAGAGTTGATCCTCAATTTTGTTTGACAGATACTTGACCATTCAGTTTGTTCGATTTTTCTGGAAAAGGGAATCAAATCAAAAGGCAAAGATTTTGCGGGTAATATTTTATTACTCTGTACTTCTTCCATCCCTTTGGCATTTATTTAAGATGGTTGCCTCTCTCTCTTTCAAAAAAAAGGGCAACTCTTTTTCTATTCTTTTCTTTTTTGGGGGTAGGGGGAAGTAGGGTATTGAATGCTCTATGCCTAGAGGGGAAGAATGTTGTTTGTATGTATTCAAGTTTTTACACTCCTGTTACATAGTGATGCCATTTTATCTGGCAAGGAATAACAAGCTCTAGTACTAAGCCATGTCTATGTTTCAGAAAGTAGATTATCCATTGGAATTGGATGTCTTTGACTTGTGTTCAGATGATCTGCGCAAGAGATTGGAAGGTCCTCGCAAGGTGTGTGCGGTTACATTCAGTCAAACTTGTGCCCTTCGGCGGAAGGGGGTGTCCATGTTCTGTCTTTTACTATATTTTATCTGAACTGGTGATCACCATTTTTGAACAGGCTTTAAGAGATGAGGAGGGTAAGAAACTTGGTTTACAAGCTAGTGGGAAGAGTTCTAGCTCGAAAGACAATGATGTCAAGATGACTGATGCAGTGGTATGTTATTGACCTGCCCCCCGCCCCACACGCACATACACTCCCTCTACTAGCGCTAGACTAGGCTGCATTGGCCTCAGTCCCTAGTTATCCATCGCAGTGTTGCAAAAATCGCGCCTAGGCGGCCCCCAGCCGCCGCGAGGAAGGCCGGAATTGGCCTCCTCCGCGGCCGGCCGCCTAGCCGGCCAAACCGCCTTTTTTTGTTTTTATTTTTGTTTTTTGTTTTTTTGTTTTTTTGAATTTTGGGTAAAAAACTTTGCGAAGGCGTAACTCTTGACTCGGTTGTGTCCGTTTTGGACAATTTTTTTTTCAAATCGCGTATTTTTTCGAGATCTATCAACCGCAAACTGCCGTAGGCGGTTTGGCCCACTAATTTCTCAAAAAAAATGTTTCTTTAGCTCTTAATTTTAGTTTTTTATGTATTTAGATGGTTTAAACAATCTTTTGAATAATTTTACAACCACTTACGTAAATAGTTTCTAAGAAATACCTATGGGAACCTTATGTTTTATTAGTGAATTTTGAAATTTTTTAATTTTTAATTTTTTTTAATTAAAAAAAAATAAAAATAAAAAATCGGCGTCTAACGTGTTTTGCAACATTGATCCATCGTATTCATAAAGCATGATATTTGTTCTTCCATTGATGCAGGAATCATCCAGTGGAAGTGGAGAGTCCTCAAAACCAGCACCCCAAGAAGGTAGAAAAGAAATGGAGAGCTAATGTTCTTTCTTTGGCTGAGTGCCTCGGGGTTTAGACAGAAAAATTATGATTGTTGGTTGTGGTTATATCTGGAATAAAATGCAATTGACAAACTCTTCATTTTTAGGTGTTTTGCCCGAGAAGGAACAACACTTGACCGGCATATATGATTTAGTTGCTGTGCTGACTCACAAGGGAAGAAGTGCAGACTCAGGGCACTACGTTGCCTGGGTCAAGCAAGAAAATGGTCAGTTCCTTTTCATAAAAAAAACATAGATCTGTAGTGGTCATATATTAATATTCCTACTTATATTCATGTTTCATAAACCATAGGAAAATGGATTCAATTCGACGATGACAATCCAATACCACAACGCGAGGAAGACATCCCTAAACTTTCTGGTGGAGGTAAGCACTATGCATAAAACTAGTTGCTCTTTTTCATCGACCTTAAGCCATCCATTTTGTTATTATCTTGCTTCTTGGCAATACCTAATGTTATTGAATGGGTGGTTTCAGGTGACTGGCACATGGCATACATTTGCATGTACAAGGCTCGCGTCACCCCCATGTAATATTTTCTCTTGGCATGTTTGGTCATTTGTTGTGTTTACACTACACATTGAGATTGGTCTCTCTTTGAATCTGTTGAGCCGCGTGCTACTAGTTTCGGACTAAATTCTTAACTTTCGCGATATTGCCATTTGTTACTCTGTTTACTAGCTTTTATGATTCTGTCAAATGTATGGGAAACTATTTATAGACATCATTCACATATTACAACTTTTACGAGTTCCACTTTGGCAATGAATGCCATCTACGAAGTTATGTGTTGCATGGTTTTAACTTCATCGTCGATCTCTACAATTCACATTACAACTCTCGTCTGTCATTTAGTATTTTATTCGGAGCAGACTTTTTTTAGCCCATAATTACTTAACGGAAATTTTAACTATGATGCATATGCAATGAAAAAAAAAAAAAAAAATGGTCAAATAGGCCCTTGAATATTACTCAAGAAGTCAATTAGGCCCTCAAATTTTCAAAAGGTGCAATTAAGTCTTTAAACATATTATTTTAGGGGAATGAGACCCAAAAATCGGTTGGTAACTTACAATTATAGGTCAAAAGAATTTCGACGAACCTTCAATGAGTTTCCGACAACATTCCGGCCAAAAAACCGGCGAAATGTTCTCTGGCGTCATTTGGTTGCCATCTCCGGCGAACCAGATCCGGCGAAGGACTTGGTCGCCTTCCCCCGCGAAGGAGAAGGCAACCCAACCCTTCTCCTTCACAGCGCCTTCTTCGGCGAAGGAGAAGGCAGACCAAATGACGCTGGCAAATGTTTCGCCGGTTTTTTGTCGGAATGTTGTCAGAATCTCGCCAGAATCTTTTTGACCTATGATTGTAGGTCACCAACCGGTTTTTGGACCCCATTGCTCTAAAATAATATGTTTAAGGGCTTAATTGAATCTTTTGAAAGTTCAAGGGCCTAATTGACTTATTGAGTAATGTTCAGGGGTCTATTTGACCATTTTCCAAAAAAAAAAAAAGAATATTATTTAGATTCTTGGCCTCTTTTTCAAGATTAGTTCGTCATGTTTCTGAGGGGCCGAGTTTGAACCCATCTCCATGCAAATACTCAGCAAAAGTTTGGAAAAATGACTTAAATGTGAAGGTAGAAGCATGTATTTCTCAAAATGACTGAAATGTGAAGGTAGAAGCATGTATTTCTCAAAAAATGACTGAAATGTGAAGGTAGAAGCATGTATTTCTCAAAATGTGACTGGTCATTTTTGTGGACAAAAATATGAAAATGACGTTTGGGATATGCGTTTGATCTCAGAATTGGTCAAACCACAAATGCAAGTCCCACTTGGGTAATTGACGAAGGGTGTTAAAGTGTGTGGGCAAAGGTAGGGGTGACCACGGTTCCGGTTTCGGAAATTGACGAACCGGAATCGGAATATACGCTTCCGGTTCCAGTTCTTGAACCGGCGGTTCTAACCGGAATTTTTTTTAAAAAAATAAATTATATGTTATGTTGTTTGTTGCATATGTTATATTGTTATGTTGTTTGTTTTACGTGGCAAAAGTGGCCAGTAGGCCACTAGGCTAGTGGGCTACTAGCCTTTTTTTAAAAAAAAAATTCACGGTTCCAAACCGGAACCGGCAGTTCCGGTTTCAAATTTTTTATAACCGGAATCGGAACCGTACGAACGGTTCCGATTCGATTACGGTTATGTTCGAACCGAACCGTGGTTACCCCTAGGCAAAGGTGGGAGATGGCTAAAAGTTGGTTGGGATGGGGGTTGCAAATATGAATGGGATTGGGGAATTGGGGCCTTGGGGGTGGTTGGGGTTAAAGACTGAAATTGGAACAAATTAAAAAAAGTTGACAAAAATACGATACTTTTGAAAATAGGAAAATATCATTTTGCAAATGCGTTTCTTGTCAGATAATTTTGTTTTGGATTTGTTTTTTTTTTTTTTTTTTTTTTTTTTTTTTTTTTTTTTTTTTTTTTTTTTTTTGCGGTCAAACACTTTGTATACGAGACACGCCTACTTGCATATCTATGATTTTTATTTATTTATTTAAAGTTGGTCGCCTTCTCTTCAGTCTGAGAAGCCGACGACCAAACTAGTCGCCTTCTCCTTCTTCAGCGACCAACATTCTAAAAAAAAAAAAAAAAAAAGTTACAGACACGCAAGTCCGGTTGACCTCGAAAAAAATATAAATAAAACAAAATTATCTGACAAAAAACGCATTTGCAAAATGATTTTTTTTATTTTTTATTTTCGTCCAGTTTTTAAAAGTGTTCTATTTTTGTCAATTTTTTTTGGTTTGTTCCCATTTCAGTCTTTAACCCGGGGATTGGCCATGTCAACCCCCTTCCCTAAACCATGACCGGCTTGTCAATGTAAGTTTCGATGGATTGAATTTATGCAGATTTGGTTTTCCTATTGAGAATTAATTTCAGTACAATTGCAGGAATTTCTTTTTGCAGTCTTTGTGTTTACTAAATTTTAATTATTATTCAAATTTTACGTATTATAAGTACTGTGGTCAAAAGAGTTGATTATTAGTTAATTGAAAATATATGTGATTATGTTATTCTGTTGGCTTACTATATTGTTATTTGGCATTAATCAGCTCATTGGCTAATTATGGGATTTGATCTCGATCAGGATAATATGAAGCACACGAGAAACATTTTACATAACTTTTGATTTGAAAAGTGTAATATAATGGTCATGTTTTTCAGTAAATTTAATGTAAATTTAGTATTGATGTTGTATTCTAATCCAAAAAGCAAGCATGTTCTTTAATTGATTCATCATAAACTTAGTTTTGATGTTGTATTCTAATTCAAGGTAGTTTTGAGGTATAGTTTATATGAAGTTTTAACAGTACTTTATTGGCATAGAATTTGTGTTTATTTTTATTTACAGATTGTCTTTATTTTGAAAAATTACAATTTTATAGATTGGTAGTGTTCATTGATTATGCAATGGAGGCAATTGGAAACGCAACAGTATAGTAAACAATATGATTAGTACATAAAATTGTAAACAGTATGAATAGTTGGTCAGATTAAGATGAAGATAAAGATGAACAGTATATCATGAAATTAAATGAATAGTTTGTCAGTATATAAGATTAAGATGAAGAGGGCCTCTCTACTTCTCTTTCTCCTTATAAGGTGAAATCTTATTCTTTAGATCACATTCTTGAAAGCCCCTAGGGTTTATAGAAAATGAAACACTATGAAGCCTTCGAGTATGATAGATTTCATAGTGAGTGTGATTGCTTTTTATTTTATTGATACTTCTGATTGCTTAATTTGTTTGGACTGAAAAGAATTTTCTATTATTGTATTTGGACTATCTTTCTAACAAAAATCATCTTTATTATTTAGGGCTTTGATTGTTGTGTGTGGAGTGGCATTGCAAAAAATTGAGTCTTTTTTTTTTTTTTTGTTTGGTTGGGTTCTCTGATGAATCAATACCAGAAAAATTAGAAAATAACATAGTATTCATGGAAATAAGTCATTAATTTTGTTTTGTTTGTTTGCATTTTTTGATCATCGCAATTTCAGTAATCTTCGATTCTATTTGTTCTTTTTTCTAGTATTACATCAATTACAATTGAACGCTAGAAATCACATATTCCCAATATGCTTACCTCTGTTATAACGGATCACTCTACCGTGTTACAATCAAAAAAGAATTCAAGATTGAGCATGTATTTTATAATCTTTCCACATGCCCGGCACTTTTTAACCATGACCATACTATATATTTGGTTGGAGGCTATACGTTTGAATGTAGCTTTCGAATGTATATTTTTTATACCAGCAGGCACTAATTACCTGTTAAAAATCTTTGATTGTTTCGACTGGAAATTTGAACCTATGGTAGAATCGCATGTGATTCGAGCTTAGAATCAGATTTACTTTCTCTCAATGAATCGAAAGATGTTTCAATCTATGATCAACAAGGATTATCTATTGTATTTTCACTCCATTGATCCCATCACAGATTGCTTTACAACCCTTCCACCCTCTCCTCTATCAACTGATCATGTCTTTGTTCATACTCTTATATTTGGCCATTTTTTTCTGGGAGAATATATATATTTGTTGATTATGGACCCAATGAATGCCAAGTACGTTACAACGGAAGGAGATAGCTTTTCGATGAGTGATGGGGAATATACCCCGGGTACAGGCTCCCCGTAGGCTCCGTGCTCTCGTTTTGGGTCGGGTCAATCGGTTCGGGTCAATGTGAACGGGTCAAGGTCAAACCTGCCTACGCTTGACCTATATAAGGGCACTTAACCCTCATTGTAAGGGGCTTTTGGGGTTCCTCTCCTTCTTCTCCACGAGCTCTCTCTCTAGCTAAAACACTCTCTCCTCTCTCTACACAAGAGAACATTTATGAATAAAAGAGTTATTTGAGCTACCTTTTATCCACTATACATTGTTCATACATACACTATAGTTGGTACATACGGTATACTCGCTACGTACATCGGGGAATTAACGCTATCAAATGGCGCCGTCCGTGGGGACCGTGACAACAAGCTACGTCCCACCATTGGAGTCCACTCCAGCTATAGTTTCACTTTCTCTGTTTTTGTTATGTTAATGTACGAGATGAAGGCATGATCGGAGGACAAAATGAGTTTGAAAGAAGTTCTAGAGTTAGCAGGATTCAAACCCAAATGCTCAAACAACCAAACCAACATCCTAACCATTGGACCACTTCAGTTGTTGGTTTAATTTTTTGCATTTTATGCATCTTGAGGTAACGGGTTCCTAGACATCATTTTCTTATGAGGAAAACACAGCAGCAACGCATGCAGCAGCAGACGGGTTCCACTCATCTGAGAAGAAAGCAGGGACTCATTCTTGTTCAAGTTCATCATCTGGATCATCTCATCACCACCATCACTGTATTTCATTTTCGCCTTCAAAGAGGCTCCACCGGCCATGCACAACCGGAGCCAAGCAGCGACCCTATGATTTTCCCGGTAATCACAGCTTCCTCCTGATTCACTCATTCCTTGTGTCTTTCTTCCTGTTTTTCATGAAGCAAACACAAGTAAAAGGTGGGGGTACAGGGGATAGTAGGGAGAAAATAGTAGTGATAGCAAAGTGAAAAGGAAAATAGAAAAGGAAAATAAAAAAGGGGAAAAATGCGTGCAAGTCAGAAAGCAACCGAATACACTTCCCGACCTCCTCCAAGCTAGTGATCAGGAGGAGGCCACTTGATTGATCCGGAGGAGGCCAGTTTGCACGTTCTTGAGGTCCAGAGCACC